ACTAATTCACCCTCCCATATTTCTATCTGACCATTTGTCCATCCATCTATAAGCCATCTATCCACCTGTTCTCGTGTGGGAAGCTCTTGGTTCAGAGAAATGGGTGAGACCTAGACCCTGATTTAAAGAAGTTGGAGTGATTAAAGTTAGGATTCTTTGTTAAGAATGTTTGGAATTACCTAGCAAAAATATATATATTTTGAGAATGAGAAGAAACCTAAATTGTAGTCTGTCTGAATCGACACATACAAAAAGAACGCCTTCTTTGTCCTTTGGACCGTAGAATGCTTAGGAATTTGTTGTTCTTGGGAGGACCGTAGAAGAATACAGTGAATAAGAACACTGGCCTCGAAAGGGCTGGTTAGGCACGTGTGTGTGGTGATGGATTGTAATAGGCTTTGGCTGGTGAACATGATGTAATCTACACAGAATTCGAAATATGTTATGATGTACACCTGAAATTCATATAATGTTATCAACCAATGTTACCGCAATAAAAAAATAAAAAAGAAAGAACCCTGGCCTCAGTCAGACCTGGGTTCTGGCTCTGTGTACCTCCCACAAGTGCACTCACTTCTCCAAGCTTCAGTTGCCACATCTGTAAAATAGAGATAATCCAGTTTCATAGGATTGTCCATAGAATTAAACGGGATAATGCACGTAAACACTTAGCTGAGTGCCTAGCATATAGCATGTGCTCAGTAAATGTTATTGTTGTCCTTACATCTGTGCCAGATTATTTGAGCTTCCCCAAACTTAGCCTTCTCCCTCCAACTAGGATTTGCGTCTCACCCCTTTTCACATTTCTGCCTATGATGAGCCCAAGGTCAAGTTTTGTATCATTTAGCAGTGATGTCTCCTTCTCTGAAACACTATGATAATTTGTACTGTTCACAACTCATTTAATGTAGATTGCTTTTTTAATGCTACCCCTGTATTTGCCTTATCTCCCCTCAGAGTTTGTAATTTCCTCGTGGGCAGAGAGTATGTCTCAAACATCTTTGCTTTGCTCCCAGAAGCTTGCATGGTGCTTCAGTCCACAGAGTTGGTGCCCCATAAATATCGAGTGAATGATTATTCACTGGTGCAGAAAGGCAAGTGAGCAGTGAGTAAATTTTGCTTGAATGAGGGCCTGGATTAATTAAAAAACACACACTTTTGGCATATTTGCCATTAAGGTTGGTTTGTTCCCTGGGCCCTTCACTGTCCTTGAAATACAATTTACCCAACTCCCTGCATTGTGAGTTGACGTGGCATGTGCCTGATAGAGAGGCACTGGGAAATCACCAGTATTTGAGGGGCCGTGTTCCAGCCTGTCAAATGCATGTGGAAGGAAAAGGACAGTTGCAGTCTCCTGGAAAGAAAGACAAAAGAAACATAGACAAAGAATACGTGTAATAATGGATACACATATGACGTGAGTCAAGCTTCATAATGAAAGGAAACGTGACAGCTTAATTCCTCACCAATTCTGGCGTGGGGAGGGAGGTCTGGGCACTTCCTCTTCAAAGAGAAGTATGATGCCTAAAAATTGTCCCTTTGGTAGCAAGTCCTCAAGGACTTTTAGTTGTAGTGGTTGTGACAAGCCTTCTAAGCCCTTGTAGAAATGTTCTTGACTGAGGGGGCCATCACATTTCCAACAAGTTAAGTTTTGATTGGGGCAATTGCCACTTAACAGGTCGCAGGGAGTGAGGCTGGACATGATACTGTGCTCATCTAGTCCCGTGGATCCACTCCCTAGTGTCCCGAGCCTTCTTTCACTTTGTACCCCTAGGTTTTGCTATCTGAGAGGCCATCTGATGGAGTGAAAAGTCCATGGGCTTTGGCATTCACCAGAAGTAATTTAGAGCCCTGACAGCCCCACTTGTTAGCTAGGTGTTAGTGAGTCTGAGCTTATCTTTTCTTATCTTGAAGTTGAGGATAACAGCACTATCAGGTTGTTCTGAACTTTAGTTATTGTTGTCAACGTTGTCACTATCATAATCATTCATCATGGTGGCTAAGTTTATTGACCCTCAGTAGGTATCCAGAGTTGTTCTAAGTGCTTTACATGGTTTAGCCTGTTTCACTCTTTCTACACATATTAATAAGATATATAATTTTATTATCCCCATTTAAAACATCTAGTGTAATGCCAGGCATATTATAGGTGCATGCATTTTATTATTACTTAATAATACTCATCTCTTAGACCAAGTGCAGCCTAAATACTGTTGGTTTTAAAATGCTATTTCAGAGAAAAAAGTTCTAGAATGTCGTGACTGAAAGGAATTAAACTTAGAGTTTATAGAGTTCAGCGATTTCTGTACTTTTTAAAGCCAGAAACTGTTGTTCACAGGATCAGTAGGTCAAAGATATCAAAGCAGAGCTGTTCTATTTGAGTCATGGGTGGGGGACTTGAGCTCTGCCTGAAAACTCGTCTGTGCCCAAGACTCTGAGGAATAGTTTGAAAATCGCTGCTGTTGCCCGTTCCTCGTACACATACCTAGACAGGCAAAGTGATTTATTGTGTTTGTTAGCTGCAGACCCTGGATTAGAAATTAGATCTCCTGTCCCCCAAGACTCATTGTTTTTTATGAGACCACAATACATGATATAGCAGTATAATAATTATTCATATACTTTATCACATTTGAACTTAACAACTTTTGTGCTAGGTATAAACTATGCTTCCTGGGTCACCTAAAAATGCTGCATAATATATAATTTTTTTGTTGAAAATTTGGTGGAGCTGGTAATAGAGTAAGAGGAAAAAAAATCAGACTAGAAAATAAGGAAACAGGATGATTTCATTGAGGTAAACAAGCTCACTGGAGTTGGCGTTTGCCCAGAGGGCAATTTCTGATCCCTAGTGCTAGACTCTGGCTTCTAATGAGCACTGTGTGAGGAGACAGAGGCGAAGCCTGGGGCTGGTGTGAGATGCAGAAATCAAGAAACTGGAAGGGTGAATCCTCAGTGGGTGACTAGGAAACAGCCACTCTGCGGAAGGAGACTTGCCTGTCAGCCTTGAGTCTAGGTAGGAGGCATGGAGGAGAAAAGTTTGCATTCCTGAAAGCTTAGGACCTGAATTTATTCTACCTGTGCGACTCAACCCTCATGCCCCGGGGCAGAATGCAGTTTCAAGTGATCTTGGGTTGATAGTTCCCTCAGGCACCTGACAGAAGCAAACACAAAGCCTCTCTGAAGAAACGCAATTTTAAAACTGAAACCTCAAATAATTCCCACAGATTAAATTCCAAAAAATATGGGCTCTCAAAAGAATCACTCAAAACACAGTAAAATAAGTCATCTTCCTTGATTCTTAGTGAAACAACAAACTGTAAAATCAGATGCACAAAGACTGAAGATGTTGGAATTATCAATATGAAACATACATGTCTAAAGTGTTTAAAAAAGAAAAAGGAAATTAAAAGCTCGAAGAATAAGAAACTGTCAGATTTGACCAAGGAGACTGAAAGAGATTCAAATAGAATTCTAGAAAAAAAAGTGAAATTAAAAATGATGTGGATGACTGAAACAGAATATGACATAGTTCAAGAGAGAATTAATAAGCTAAAAGATACATCTGGAAGTTACACACAGTTCAGTGTAGAGATGGAAATATGAAAGTCTAAGTTACATGGAAGAGAGCTTGAGAAGAAACAGCATTGATTGAATTACAATTTTGGAAAAAGAATAGAGAAAATGGCAAAGAGAGAATGTTTGAAGAGATAATACCTGAGAATTTTCCAAATTACTGAAAGATTAGATCAATCTTTAGGTTCAGGAATCTCAAGGAATCCTAGGAAGGATAAATAAAAATAAATGCACACCTGGGTACCTTAGAGTAAAATGAAAAAATGGAAAACAAAACCCATCAACCAAAGAAAGAAAATGATCTTAAAAGCAGCCATAGAGAAAGGGTTTGTCAAATACAAAGGAATGACTATGAGGTTAACAACTGGCTTCTCAATAGAAACATTAAAATCCAGAAAACATTGGAATAATATCTTCAAAATGTTGAGAGAAAGTAACTGTATACCCAGTAAAGCAATTTTTCAAGTATAAGGGTGGTCTAAGGACATATTTAGACACAGTTGCTATCAAAATATCTTCACTAAAGGAAGTTCTAAAGGATGCTTTAGGAAGAAAAATAATTAGTCTAGAAGGAACACCTGAGATTCAAGAAGCAATGTTGTACAAAGAAATATGAGACAGTTGGTTGAAAAAGTGTGCTCCAGAAAACATGTTCAAGAATGTTTCTTGCAGCATTGTTTGTAATTCAAAACCTGCAAATAATGCAAATGCCCATCTGGAGTATAATAGAGAAAATGTGGAATATTCATTCTATGGAATATCATAACAGCATTGACATATATTGAACTAAAGCTACTGGCGTTAACATGGGCGAATAGTAAAAATACACCATAGAGGATATGTATAGTATGTTTTTATTCATGTGAAGTTCAAAATGGACAAAACTAAGTAATCTATTATTTGGACATAAGCACCTATTGGGCAAAACTATAAAAAATATGCAAGGGAATGATTAACACAAAATTCAGGCTAGTTCTCTCTGATGGCTGGGAGGGAGATTCATTGGAGAAGTATAATCAAGGGTGACTGATAACATTCTGGTTGTATTCATTTTTATTTTGTAGATTCATATACGTTCATTTTATGTATTATTTCCTATGTACCATAAATTTTACATTAAAACAATTATAAAAGGACTAATTCTGTAAGAAGGTGGTATGAAGAGGATTCAGGATCAGCATAGAGAAACGCCTTCAGGAAGGAACAACTTTAACCAATTTGAGTATTTGGGAAAAAAATCTCAAGCATGGGGCCATCCAAAGTTTCATATTCCTACTCTCCCATCCCTTCCCAGCTCACCCTTGCATATTGCCAAGCTATGTTTTCGTGCTTAGTGACATATAGTAAAAATGTTTCATGCTTTATTACTTGAAAGTCTTTTATTCTCTTCTTTTCTGATGTAAAATTTTATGTGTTTCCTCTAGGTCATAACTTTTGTGCGGAAGGACCTAAATGTGGTGAAAATTCAGAGTGCAAAAACTGGAATACAAAAGCTACTTGCGAGTGCAAGAATGGTTATATCTCTGTCCAGGGGGACTCCGCCTACTGTGAAGGTAAGCAAGTTATTTAATGAAATCACTTGTGAGAAATGTCTTCTTGATAGACATGGTTGAAGATTGAAAACCATCACTTGGCTCTGGTCCTATGGGATCCTACAAGAAATGATATCAACTACCTAGGGTACTCTATTTTCCTGGTTTATCCAGGCTGCTTAGGAGCATATGAAAGCAAGATCTTTGAAGGTACTTATGAAACACAGCAAAGCAACAAAAGCACTATCACATCCCATGTTCTGCTGTTACTGTAATAATCACCAGCAAAACCAGAAACACATCATTTTCTGTTGTCTTATTTGAGTAGTTTGTCATCTCTAAGTTCAATGAAATGTTATGTGGTGGATGCTCTTTTTGAGTGATACTTTGATGCTAGCTTATACCCAACTACCATCTTCTTCACCTGCCAAAGTCAGAATTTTTTTTCAGTTGGGTTTCTTAATGACTGATTCATGGCTTGCTAATTCCCAGACTCTACTAAAAGTCACAGTGATGGATGGGCTCATAACTTTGACACGTGGATGGATGCCATTTTAGTGTGTTGGTGGCCTCAAGTATCAGTGACCCCCATTTACATTCTAGATAACAGAACAACTCCATTGTCTTGTATGAATGCCTCTTTCCAAGCTCAGCACTCCGCCTTGCTGGCAATGACCATTACACACTCCTGCTCCTTTAACATACTGGAGGAGCAGGGGTTAGCTCTGCTCTGCAGGAGCTCTGACCCTGGTCTATAAGTAATATCTGAGTCCATCCATTTTTCAGGCGCTCACTGGCTCCCTCCTGTCAGTTTAGAGAAGTTCCAATAGGAAAAGTGATGGCTCAGCTGTTTCTCTATCCCAGTTGGACCCAATCATTCCTGCCATCTTCAGTAACAATATATTGAACCTTAGTAATCTGTTAATCAGGAAGGCGATGTCTTGAATGGCTGTGAACTCTCAGTCACTCTTCCAATTGGTTTGGTCCTCAAGTGGGTCAGGAATGCTAAAGGTAAAGACAATTGATGACGATAACAGTAAATTCCTTTCCATTCTGCTGTTTATATCATTGACCCCTGCCTAACGTTTTGGCTTTGACCGAAGATCTCTTCGGTTGTTCGGGAAAGGTGTGTAATCACCCCCAGCGCTCGGTACCTGGGAGGCAGCCTGGTTTTCGTTTCTGCTGGAAGACTTTCTTCATTATTCCTTTGCTTCTTATTAGCAAAATAGTCTAACTAGTGTGTTTTTTTCTCTCTCCTTTTCACCTTTGTTTTTCTTTTGCTTACCTTTATAGATCTGAACTTGATTAGGGAGACATGCCACTTGGGAGGAGGATGAAGTTGCCCCTTTGGTTATGAACCTTTTCATCTACCCTTTAATGTCTTGTTACTTATTATCAGGTTTGGAGAAGCGGACTATTAATTTTAATACTTCATATTAATATTTATTCTTTGTATCTTATGCTGTTTTTTATTTGTTGTCAGAAAATTTGTGTAACTATAAAAATTAAAAATGTGAACGTTCTCTTCCCCATTTACCATGTGGAAATCCTATAATCTAGGTAATGGTCTAAAAATTTACTTTTTTACCTTCTACTGTCTGTGGGGATAGACTATAAACAATTATAAAAATGACAGAAGGGGCCTCAAAATAATTTGAGTCTCGATTCTGCCACTGGCAGAACTTTCAGTTGTGCATTCGAACCAGTACGCCCACCGTCCCCAGCTGTCCTGAGCGATTGAGACCTGGCAGAATCCGGGAGAAAACTGCTGGCCAAATACTATTTGAGACTCTTTGATTCTCTCCTCATTGAGCCCCTTTTTTCTTACATGAAATCCATTCTGTGAGGAACCATTTGTGATGCTAAATCTGCCTTTTGTGTGTGAGGCCTCATTTTATTGGTTATGTTGAGTGATTTCGGGTCTGAATCATGGTTTTCTTGGACATATTTCTCAGCTCAGTGCAGGTGCCTGGCCACGGGCCAGGGTGCACTGTGGTGCCACCCTGGGTAATGGTGATTCGCTCGGGCTTCAGTTGTTTCTCTGTTATCATGGAGACTTTCCAGAGTTCCAGAAGGCTTGTTCACAGAGATGATAGCACCTAAGAAGAAATGACTAAATATTCGAGCCCATTTAGGGTGTAAGAATAGAGCTCAGGGGGTAAAGCAGGGTGAAATACTGGGCATCCGGAGGGAGGCTCTGAGAACCCAGTAGAACGATTATGAGCATTTGGAGCAAATGTCTTTCTCTCTTTCCGTTCTGCCATCTTCAGCATGTTGGACTTTGGGCTTATTTTCCTTTGGTTGCATGGTTGCTGCCATGGCCTCAAGCATGGTGTCCTCACACCAGCCAGCACCCCAAGCAAACAAGGAAGGAAGGGACAGGGGTTAAAAAACCCTGAGTGAGGTTCTGTCTTTTTATGTCTAAAGAAAGTCCTTCCTGAGGGCCGGCCCAGCGGCGCAGCGGTTAAGTTCTACACTCCTCTTCTCAGTGGCCTGGGGTTCACCAGTTTGGATCCTGGGTGTGGACATGGCACCGCTTGGCATGCCATGCTGTGGTAGGCGTCCCACATATAAAGTAGAGGAATATGGGCACGGATGTTAGCTCAGGACCGGGCTTCCTCAGCAAAAAGAGGAGGATTGGCAGTAGTTAGCTCAGGGCTAATCTTCCTCAAAAAAAAAATTAAATAAATAAAGTCCTTCCTAGGAGGTCCCCCCTAACCCTTCTGCCCCTTCCTTCATGTAGAAGACGTCCACTGTCTTATTTTTTAGAGCTGGGTTACGTCCTCCCCACCCCTAGACCAGTGTTTGGGAAAGGGGAATGAGATGACTGTCGCTGATTTGGGCTAATGGTGTCCATCTTCTGGAGCTGGAGTAGGAGTGCGCTTTCCCTGAGGCCAGATGATCCTCCCCTTCCCCTGAACTAATTAGGGCTGTGGCAAAAGGAAGAGGGTTGGGGTGGTTTTGGGTGGGGAAAAAGCTATGTCTATGCCATTCTTTTGTGGTTAAATTTAGTTCATGGCCGTTCCCCAAGCTCTTTCCTAAGAATTGTCCTCTGGGTGGTCTGATAGACAAGATTAGATGTTGCCAAGCACCTGCCTGGGTACCAGAGACTCTCAGAAGCTGATTTCATTGTCTCACCATAGCCCAGAGAGAACTAGATTCTTAGGAACTGCTTCAGGAAAGTTATTTCTCACTCTGAGTAAATGGAGTGAAAATGACCCATATTGTACAAACCACAATGAACAAGACTGGCTTGCAAATTAAAACAAAATGTTACACACGTTGTCCAGGCTATCTTGAAAAGCCTATTCAGGCTCTCAGTGAAAAGAGAACCACAAAGGCTTTCACTTTTCTTAACTTCCTAGGGTAGCAGCAGACATATGGTGTATTAAGGACTCCTGCTTTGCAGAGATTGCTGTAGAAACTGCCAAAGAGAAGATATCAGAACTCCCAGCCAATCAATAGAAGATAATAAGAACTTTGTCAGCTATGATACAATTCTCAAGAGGTCGTTTCATTTTGCTTCGTCTGACTCAAGCAGGAACATTCTCCATTTGAAAAGTGCTTTAGTTGGATTTTGGTCTTTTATGAAAATGGTCTGCTGAGGCTGTTTACCTTTGTGATGACATTTTCAGTGGGTTGGTCTTAAATAGTTGCTGATACATTAGTTTAAATTAGAGGTAGTGTCTAAGGAAAGTATAGCAATAGGAATTCTACTTACGATCTTCTTGAATTTGGGGTCTACATAAATAGAATCTAATAACCTTTTTCTTCCTGTAGTAAAAAGTTATTTAGAAGAATAAAGAATGTGATATCACGTGCATCATACAATCTGCCAGGCATGGAAAGTACTACAATTAGTGTTAAATGATAATGCCTTCTACTTATAGAGTGCTCTGAATTTTTGAGACTCTTTTTGTATATATTGTACCTTTGGAACCTCACAGTAAATCTGGGAGGGAAGTGGCAGCGTTGGCCACATTAGCTCCATTTTACACGTGCAGACACTAAGACTCAGAGAAGTGAAGTAAAGATAATACTCAACTCCTTTCTACTCCTGGGCTTTATGCCTTGACTGGTTCTGTTCCCTACCTCCCCACCCCCACCCTGGCCCAGTGCTGTAGTGTTGTTCAAAATATTTGCTACTTCCTTGATCCAGTGAAATATGAGTAGACGTGATGTGTACCATTTCAGAGGAGAAGCTCTACGAGCTATTGTGGAGTTCCACCTCATTCTCTTTTTTCTTTAACACAAAACTGGTGACGTTCCAGAGCAGGACTTCTCCTTTACTTGGAGTCCCAGACTGAAGATGACATGGAGTAGAGTGACAACTGACAGGTGACGGACATGTGGCATGAGTGAGAAATTACGTAAATCACTGAAATTTTGGAGGGTGGAGTTGTCTGTTACCTTTGCATAAATTAGCCTAAGCCTACTCGTATACCTGCCTGAATTCGTTGATCCAAATCTTGTGGGTTCAGAAGGATGCCCTCAGCTCAGTGCTCACAACTGGAAGTAGTTTTTTCTATCGCAGGCATTGAGAGTTAACTGGAAAAAGTACAAACTGTGGAGAGCATTAATAGTCTGCTCTGGCTCTGCTGTCAAGCACTAGATATTTTTGCAGACCACAAGTTGTAAATTAGCGATTTCGTTATGGCCAAATCCAACTTGGGAAATTGGCTTTCCCAATTAAGATGATAATGAGACGGTGCGTGTCAAATCTTAAATTGTCTGGTATTCACTAAACATTTAACGATCACAAGAGTTATCATCATCATTGTCATTAACTTATATCGTTGACGTTTATGAGGATCTTTCTTGGAGTTGAAGGTGTGTGTCCTTATTGAGGCCAGTATTTTGAGAAAGAGGATTTTGTACATCTGCACGTTTTGGGAGAATTGACAGGTAGCAGGGGAGTGTTCTTAGATGGAAGCACCAGATTTGATCAGTTCTGCCAGGAGCATATTGTTGGCAGTGGGACACCAAGCCTAATAATTATAAATTATGATGAACTCCTC